CTATGGATATCCCTATATACCTCTACTCCTTAGGAAGAGCCCCTTCCATACCTGGTGTTTTCATTTCTCTCCTTTGCTCTCTGGAGTCAATCACCTATAGAAATACAAAACCTTTTTATTCTAGTTCTTGACTGTGGACAAAGAAAGCCATCTATATATCAGTGTTAATGTCATCTGGCACCCTTAATGATGGTACCAGTTGAACGAATAACATGAAGAGAAACAGCCCTGTGCTTACAATGCCTTGATGGACCTAGCTTCTTCTTTCCCCTATGTTAAGTTCTATCATGCCATATATCTCAAATACCTCTAGTAGCTAAGAATCCAAGCCATTCAAGTTGACATAAGAGTCCTTAAGGATGTAGATTCCAACCAATTCCTTTTAGCTACCAAACTGCCCAAATAAAGACATCTGGACTTTTTATATTGACTGGCCACAGCATGCTTTTTGTCTCTATGTTCTCCAGATCTACAAAATCAGGGAGCTGTGGTACCATCTCCTCTGAACCACCAATACTGGGGCCACCATTCCCTTTGAGAAGCTTTGAACCTCAGCCTTGGAATCACTTCTCTTTGCCTGGCCAGTGAGGTGCAGACCCAAACAAGTCAGGATACCTGTGTATTAATCAAAGGGATAGCATTAATTCTGAAGATGCTACAAGTATTGCCCCAGGTGAATTTCTTCTCCTTTCACTTGGTTCAATCTCTGAACCTGAATTTCTCCAAAATTAAGTCTGCTGCCATGTGGGAGATAATTAGGAAGTTCTAAAAGAAAGAAAGAAAACATTCATTTGTTAAACATCCACTATGTGCCAGGAATTGCATTAAGTACTCTGCAAATATTACCTTATTTGATCCTCAAAACATCCCTGGGAGGTAGGCACTGTAATTATCTCCATTTTACAATTGAGTAAACTGAGGCAGTCAGGGGTTGTGACTTGCCCAGGTCACACAGCTAGCAAGTCTGAGGTTAGATTTGAACTCAGGTCTTCCTGACTCCAGGCCCATTATTCTATCCACTGATTCACCTAGTTGCCTTGGAGTACTGGGTACCATCTTGTGGCATCTTGGAATTTTCTACTTCGTTTTCCTTTTGCATTCAGTTTGCCCTTTACCAAGCATTAATGAAAGTGTGGAAAGAAGAGAAAAGTAAATCAAAAGCCATTACTGGCCTGAATGAGATAAAGGAATTGAGTTGGATTTATTTTTGGATATGCAGTAAAAATACTGATTTGCCATGAACATATGGAAACAACATAGTATTTTGGAATGAAATGTGCATTTTTACACTAAGGGAATGTAACACTGTAGAATAATAATTCTGTGCTGCAGAAACATTAGAAGGACATGTTAATTGTGGTATACTATAAAAAATATCAAGGTAGAATACTAATTGATAGTAATCATTGTCATGGAATATGAATGGGAATCATCTAATAATCTTGTCCAGTGGATTTTTGGACGGCTACTAGGATACCTATTATCCATAGCTGGAATTTTCACATGCAGACAGACAGACAGACAGACAGACAGACAGATGGACAGACACACACATACACACACACTCCTTTTTTGTCTCCTCTATAAGATTTAAGTGAGGAAATATAGGGATCAGACAAGAGACATCACAATGAAGGGCATGAGGATCCTCTAGCAGAAGATGAGGTGATCTGACATAATAGAAAGGACGCTGGATTTGAAGTGTTGGGATGAGATGATCTCTAAGGCTACTGGTTTTAGCTCTCAATCTATAATCCTCTGAGTCCTGATTTTATCACTTATTTATTGTATAATCTTAAGCAAGCCTCTTACCTCCCAGAGGTTCAATTTCCTAATCTGTCAAATGGGGCTAATACTACTTATACTGTTTCCTGTACAGAGTTATTATGGGAAAAGTGCTTTGTAAAGATTAAAGCTAAACAAACAGGAGCTATGGTTGCCTTTCTTTGCATCCTTACAGTGTAAGGACTTAGTACAGTATAAGCATTTAATAAATGTCTGCTGACTCACTGAAATGGAAGTTCAGACATTCAGAAAGTTATCCTAGGTTTGCACAACCAGGGGCAGAGCCCTTGAATAAAAAAGTAGTATAAGAAAAATGAATACTAAGTTTCAGCTCTCCTAGGGAGGGTCCTGGGCTTTTCATCTCTTTTTGAAACGTTCTTATTTGTCACTTTCCATCCTCCTGAGGTAGAGTACTTCACCAGGGGATCCCTCATCTGGAAGATCCCTAGATAATAAGGCCAGTCGTCAGTGCTAGGCCTGTAGGTGTCTGTGAGCTGCAAATGGAGACTTAAGGCAAGGATGCAAAGAAGGCAGCAAAGCAAATACTAGGTAGACTCCAGACAGGCTTTGTAACCTCCTGTCTCTCCTCTTCTTTCACGCCACTGCCAGATTAATCTTCCTTCTATATAAATCTATTCATTCCTCTACCACAAAATCTGCAGTGGTTCCCTATTGCCTTCAAAGTAAAGGTCTGTCTCCTCTGGGTGGCATTTAAGACATCCATAGTTTGGTACCACTTTATATGTCCAGTCTCATTTCATATCATTCCCCTCTACCTAATATAAATTCCAATCAAAATAGACTATTTGCTGTTGTCCACATAGATCCCATACTCTGCCATCTCAATGACTTTCTTTATATAATTCTCTATTCCTTGGAATTCTTTTCTATCTCCATTAAATTCTATCCTCTCCATAAAACTCTCCTTGATATGTATTCCCTGTAAGGATTCTTCCCCACTCCAGTAAGGAAACTCCATCAACCAATGCAGAGAAGCAATTATTCTGAGAACTAAAATTGAAGTGAGTTGTATGAGGCACAAAGTGTTTAAGTGGCTTACCCAGGATCATACATGAAGTATCAGAGGTAGATGGTGAATCCAGGTTCTCCTGACCCCAAGGCTAGCCTTCTTTTCATTGTATCAGGCTGTGTCTCTCATAACTAGAGGGTTAAGTCTTTATAAGTACGTAGAACTGGAGCCAAAAAAAGATCTCAGAGGCCATCTACTCAACACATCTGAATTAGCAATTAACTTATGGAATTATTAAATTGATTTATTATGACCCAGATAAAAAGGGAGGAAATCTCCTAGAAGAGAACATGAGATTCAGCTATCCCCCCTTGCTTTCTACCCAGGAATTTACTACACCTAGCTCTTTCAGGTAAGGGCAGCTATGAATAGTTTATAGTTTCAGTCCTGGTATTCCCGATTTATGAGCAAGGGAATGGGACTCTCAGAGGGTCCCTCTGGGTCAAGGTTGGGGTAGGTACATCTGGTTGGTTATTTTTCTGGATACTCACAAGGAAAGACCACAATGGCAGCAAGCAGGAAGTAATGCTTCAATCATACTTTAGTAAGGCACAGAGAGAACAGAAAGAAATAGCACAGAAAGTAGAGACAGATGGTATAGGCATGCAGAATGAGATGGTGGAGGGAAGAAGGCAATGTAGGGAAGAAAATGGTGAGGAAGAGAGGTATAGAGAGTCAGTTACACAACCACACATCAGAGTTGGAAGCACTAAGGCAGCATGGACCCATAGCAGACAGAGAAGTACCTAGGGTGGAGGGATGGTGTAAGAGTTTATGGTCTCATTTTAATAGGAATTTGGTGGTAGAAGATGGATTAACTCTTATCCCGGTCACCTTATGGTTAGTTCATTAACATATACACATCATCTCAAAGTTATTAGCAACACTTGAGGATTAGTTCATTGGTATAACACTTTGCTGGTGTTGTGCTAATCTTACTGCACATATTTGGAGCTTGGCTGAGGCTTACAGATGATAAGCAGTTAGCAAAACCAAGAGTCACTTACTAAGACCTAGCTGTTTTCCCCTAATTTAGCACAACATCTTGGGATGTGGCCTTAGTTAAATTACAAGACAGATTCCAGTGGTTCCTATACTTCTTAATTTATGAGACAGTTTGCAAGTAACTGTTATGTTCCCTTAATTAATGGGACAGCCTGTAAGTGACTTGTAGTTTCCTTTTGCAATCTTACATCCTACTATTGTCAACTTATACTACCTATAATGTTACAGTACTAGCTAAAAAGAAAGGGTGGTCAGGGTGGGCATAACAAGAAACAATTTTAACACAGACCCTCATTTTACAAATGAAGAAACTTAAGCTCAAGGAGGTTAAGTGACTTGCCCAATATCATAGAAGCAGTAGGGATCAGAAGTGGAATTTGAACCTAAGTCCTCTGACTCCAGAATCTATCTTCCTTCCACTCTTCATGACTCTCAAAACTTACCAACTGCCTGATGGGGACATAAACCCAAAATCCTGAAATAGGTCTACTGTCTCAGATAGCTGGGCAGTTGGATGAATCCAATTGTGGACGTATCTATAAAGTGAGCAATAACACCCAAATTTGTGTGGCAAATATAGAGAGAGAGTACTGGAAGGGGAATCAGGAAAGTGGGAATTCAAAGTCTACTTTTGAAGCTTACTACCTGTAGTAAACTGAACAATCCACTTAATGACTCTGAATTTCAACCACTCCCCAGGATTTATCTATTCAATTATAGATAGCCTGTGCCCGAGTTGATAGAAGGAATTCCCACACCAACAAATATGCACTGTGTTTGATATACTGATACCATGTAAATTTTCACATAGAAAATCCTTAGAATCCCCTACACTGAAAGTATTCTTGGAGAAGGGAGGTTAGAGCGTGATTCCACAAAAGGGTGCCTCCTCAAGGAATTAAATGAGGTTGGACTAAGAAAAATCACAAATATCAGAGTTCATATAATAAAACCTATACCCAAATAAATTCCTAGTACAACTCTCCCCAAAAGTTCTTATCAAATCTCTATTTGAAGAGCTCCAATGATTGGGGGACTCATTGTCTTCCAAGGCTCCTCATTTACTTTTATAATGGTGTCTATAGGACTTATCCCAAATCCTGGGCTGTGGTGCTAAGGGAATGCTATGGAATAGGAATCAAGTTTAATTGCTTTTACAGTTTCCCTTTTGCTTCTACAGAGCCAAGAGCTTCCAGAGAGAATGATGCCCCAGTAATGGTGACAGGGATTCTGGGAGAGTCAGCTATTCTACCCACAGAAATACCAAATGGATATAAACTTGAGAACATTAACTGGGCCTCCCGTACATCTGTTGCTCTTGTGCAACCAGAAGGACAATCTGTCAAGATCATTACAACCCATCAAAATTATAGGGATCGACTGAATGTCCCACCCAATACATATAACTTGAAGATTAGCCCCCTGAAGATGGAGGATGCTGGATCCTACAGAGCTGACATAAATCTTCAGAATCCTACAACTTCTACCACCTTCACCGTCACCAAGAACTATACCCTGCATGTCTACAGTAAGACTATAGTAGTGGACTCTTACAATATTTGGGCTGAGAGACCAAAGAGGTCCTCTAGTCCAAACCCTCATTTTTCATCCAAGGAAACTGAGGCCCAGAGAAGTGAGGTGATTTGCCTAAGGTCACATGCATAGTACCAAAACTAGAAAAGAAATGGGATTTCCTGATTTAGTTTTGTCTTGTTCCACTGGGTTATTTTCCAACTTATTTTTCAAAAGAATACTAAAGTTTTCAATCAAGTATTCCCTGGACCTTTCAGTGACTATTAGTCAAAAACCTCAGCACTATACTAGAAAGTCTGAGGGGAAAAGAGGGCTGGGAAGGACATGGATCTTGCCTTTGGCAGGTCCAGATTTTGCCCTTGTATCTCTCACTATAGGCTCTTTCCCATTTGCCTACAAACATGCTTGTGTCTCCCTAATCCTTAAAAAAAAAAAACAAAAAAACAAACCTTTCCTTAACCCTTGTCATTCATCCAGCTACCTTCCCATTAGTTTCCTACCATCCACTGCTAAACTCTTGAAAAATGCTGCCTATACCCAATGGCTCTTCTTCCATACTACTCACCTTCTCAATCCTTTATAAAATAGCCCAAGCTCCAATGACTCTATGGAAACTGTCCTCTCTAAAGTTTTCAAGGACCTTATAAATGCCAAATTCCATGGGGTTTTTTTTCAGTCTTCTTCCTCCTTGAAATCTCTGCAACATATCATGTTGTTGATCATTTCTATGATCCTAAAATTTCCTCTCACTGAATACTTTCTTTTCCCTTGATTTAAAAATCTGCATATTTTCTCAGTTTTCCTCTTACTTCTCTAAATGTTCCTTTTCTGTCGCCTTCAGTAACTCTCCTTATTATTCTTCACCTTTTAATGTGGGTGTTCTTCAAGGTTGTGTCCTTGGTTCTCTTCTGTTCCTGTACTTTTCCCACTTGGAATTACCACTTTGACGAAAATGACTCCAAAGTCTTCATCTGCTTGCCTTGTGTAAAGGTTACTTTGGCAAGAATGCTTCTCAAAACTGACTCCTAAAGAGATCAAAATTGGAAAAATTAAGAAAGTTTATAAAGAAGGTGGTTTCATTATAGACTCATTCTTATGCCTTATATTGTTCCATCCTTTAGGACGACTGGCACCACCAAAAATTACTTTGACTTTTGTAGCCTCTGAGAACAATACCTGTAACATCACTCTGACATGTTTCATGGAGGAGAAAGGAGAAGCTGTGAAGTACCAGTGGACTCCTCTGGGAGAACAAGCTGTTGAATCCAATGGGAAATCTAGTCTTTTCATCTTCCAAAGACCTGAGGATGCTCCCATAAATTACATCTGCACAGCCATAAACCCTGTCACCAACAATTCTCAATCCAAACTTGTTCAATATCCTTGTGCAGGTAATCATCTGTCCCTTCTTCCCAAAAGCCTCAGGAAACACCCTGAGCAGCTGTAGGAAATAGGCCCCAGAAGGTCTGGTCTTTACATGGGCAGTTTCAAGATAGAACCCAATGAAGATAGAAATCAAAATCAGGCAAGGTCACAAGCACTTTTCAGCTCAATTTTATTCAACAAATTTATTAAGGCCTACTAAAGACTGTGTTGTGTTACGTGCTGAAAAAATGAAGGCACAGTCTCACCCTCATGAAACATACATTCTAGTAGGGGTGATACTAATATGTATAATTATAATAATATTTTATTACAAGTACATTAAAGAGGTATAAAGAAAATTGCTCCCTAAAGTCTGAGTGGGAAGGCTATTTTTTATAGCTGGGTTGGGGAAGACTCCATTAAAGAGACAGAATTTGAACTAGTCTTTAAAGAATGGAAGTAAGAAGCACCGACCCTGAAGTCAGGAGGACCTGAGTTCAAATCCAGCCTCAGACCAAACACTTAACACTTACTAACTGTGTGACCTTGGGCAAGTCACTTAACCCCAATTGCCAAAAAAAAAAAGAATGCAAGTAAGGAATGAATTTATTACAGAGCTGATTTATTACAGTTCTTTAAAGCTTGCAAAATAATACTTTGCATATGTTATCACATTTGATCCTCACAACATAAGAGGATAAAGACTGAGGAAAGTAAGGCTAACAGACTTGCTCAAATCACATAATGAGTAATTAACCAAGCAGTATATTTTCAGTGAATACAATATGCAAGGCACTGTGTTATGCACATACAAAGAAATAGAAAAGTTGTTCCTGGCCTCAAAAAGTTTACTTTCTTTGGGGGAGATATAACATATGCAAATAAGTAAATAGAGAATATATAAAGGTAAGTGTAAAGTAGTGGTAGGGAGAAAGCACTAACAACTGGGAGAATCAAGGATTCGGAAAGAACTCCCATGGGCAACAGCACCCAATGTAAGCCTTCAAAGAAACTAGGAAATCCGAGATGGCTAGGAGAAGAGGGAAAGCATCCCAAGCATAGAGGACAGCTTATACAAAGGCACAGAGATGGAAATCTCAAGTTTGGGAAATAGCAAATAAGTCATTTTGGGGCTGAAATGTATATGAGAGGCAGTAATATAAGTCTATATAAGGTAAACTGAGTCAAATAATGAGGGACTTTAAATGTTAGACTAAAAATTTTGCATTTTATCCTAGGGAGGGTCTACTGAGAGCCACTGAAGGGGGTGAGGGTGGTGTGACATGGTCAGAGCCAGGGTATAGAAATATCACTTTGTTGACTGTGTTTAGGACGAATTGGAGAGGAGAGAAATTGGAAGGAGGGAGACGATTTTAAAAACTCTTACAAAAGTCCAGGTAAGAGGTAATAAGATCCTGAATGGGAGGGTGGCCATTTGAGTCCAAAGAAAAAGAAAAATATGAGAGATGTTGTGAAGATGGACTCTACAAGACTTTTCAAATGATTGGATATGGAGGAGTGAGAGAGAAGAACGAGGCAAAAATTCCTCTCAATTTGGAAACCTGAGTAGATGTTAGATTGATGGTGCCCTCAACAAAAATAGAGATGTCAGGATGAGGCATGGATTTAGAGATAATAATAATAATTTCTGTTTGGGAAATATCTGCCTAGGGGTAATACAGGTGATGTTCAACAGCAGTTGATGATATGGATCTAGAATTTAGGAAAGAGATAAAGATTAGGTGAGTCAATGGAGCTATAGGATGGAACAATACAAGGCTTAAGAGTGAGTCTATAAAGAAACCACCTTCTTTATAAGATAAAGGCTAGATCTTTATAAGATAAAGACTTGATCATCTGCATAAAAATTATAATTAAACTCATGGAAGCTGATATCACCAAGATAGAGCACATATAAGGGAAAGATAATAGGACCTGTGTCAGAGTCCTGGGGTACATCCATGCTTAGGGGATGGAACATTGATAATGAGGAATAGTCATGCAGAAAAGAGGAAAAACTTTGTTGGGGTGGGGGAGAACTAGTGAAACTCAAGTAGGAGAGAGAATCTAGGAAGAAGGGATGCTCAACAGTGTCAACCTCTGCAGAGAGATCAAACATAATGAAGACTGAAAAAAGCCCATTTTGTTTAGCAACTAAGAAGTCATTGGTAATCTTGGGGCGAGCAGCCTTTACTGAGTGGTTGAGTCAGAAACCAAACTGCAAGAGTTTATATAGTGAATAACTGATGAGTAAATACAAAGAGAGAATGCTATTTTTTAGTGGTAAAAGGGAGTAAAAATATAGGATGATAGCTAGAGGGGGTGGCAGGTTTGAATGAAGATTTTATAGTTATGGGAAGGAGCTTCATAAGTTTATAGGCAGCAAGGAAGGAGTTAGAGACTGAAGATTAGAAAAAGAGAAAAGGTGATGATGGGGCAAACTCCTGAAAGAGACCAGAGGGGAAAAGCTCAAGGACCCAAGTAGCCTGGTTGACCAAGGCAAAGAGAAGGGCCAAGTTATACTCTAATATTGAAACAAAAGAGGAGAGAATGGAGGATGATGTTGAGGATATTGAGGTGTAGAGTTAGAAAAAGAGGAAACTCATTATAGATAGCCCCTATTTTTCAGTAAAGTATGAGACAAAGACCCTTCCTGGGAGTGAGCAAGGGAGAATCATTTAGGTGGACTGAGGGAAGAAAAGGTTTGGAACAACCTTGTGGGGAATTAAATAGAGATTCACTAAGATAAGAGCAAAAAGCTTAGTGATCTACAATTAGAGCCCAATTGAGCTTAGATAACATAAATATGTAGTGGATGCACTCAGCACAGATGTGTGACTTCTTCCAGCAATATTTTGCAGCACTAGGAGTGGGGGGGGGGGGGGAGCAAAGCAGATGATGGAATTAACCCAGAGTCAGGTTTTGGAAAAGCAATAAGTGGTAAATAAGACAAGGTAGCATGGGATTAAAGGGTAAAGAACAGTGTAGGTCTGATAAGATTCATTATTTGGTCAAGGTTGTGAAGGTAGGAAAATTTGGCCAGAGTAAGAGTGGTGAGCTAGAAAATCAAAGACAGGCAAAATGACAGGAGTCCACAACAAGGATCAATAACACTTGTAAAATGAATGAAGTAGAAGGAGAGATGGAAGGATGAGAGCTTATGATCTGAGAGAAGAATTTCAGTACTCTGGGTCATGAAGATGGAGAATCTGTAAGTGATGATGACATCAAGGAATGAGTAGCTGAGATAGAATAAAGGGGGAGATCATAGAAGATGGGGAGGTCAAAGAACTGGGATGCTTGTCTGTTTGAAGTGATAGGAATACAGTGGTGAAGTCTCCAAGCACAAGCAAAGAGAGCTGTTAACTCCTTGAATGATGATGGAGAATGCCTTGGTGGCCATTAGATGACAGCAACCAGGATCTAGATAAGGTGAAATATCCAGACTGAATGAAGCTGAATGGAAAGGTTGCTGAGCAATGAAAGCAGAAAGAAGCTACAAAAATGGCTCAGAGAACCAAGAAGCATGCAAACTCCTTCCCTTCCTTTTTTCTGTTCTCTTTTGAGAGGAGTACAAGCTATAAAGTAGTTACAGATTAAAAGAACCTTAAGACTTAGGTTAAAAAGTAGGATTCACTGTGGAAAATTATACTAATTGTTTATGGGCTTCCATAATATTTTTTTGCATTTGTTTATGGGCTCCTGAGTTCTTTGTTCCTTCTGCATTTTCTGTGGGGTGAAATTAAGTCTACCCAATACCGGGACAGCTAGGTGGTATAGTGGATAGAGCACTGGGCTTGGAGCCAGGAAGATCTGAGTTCCAATCCGGCCTCAAACACTTACTAGCTGTGTGATGCTGGGCAAGTCACTTAGCCTCTATTTGCCCTAGTTTCTCATCTATAAAATAGGACACATATTGGAGAAAGAAATGGCAAACCACTCCACTATCATTTCCAAGAAAACCCCATGGACAGAAGTACAAGGGGTCACATAGAGTTGGACACAACTGAACAAATGAACAACAAATACCCAACAGTATTTGTTACCTTCTATACTCATACATGAACTGGGGACCCTGTTACCCACATTTATGGAAACCTTAATGTGAGTTATAGAGAAAAGGTACATTGCATAGGTACAAAGGAGTCCCAGGTGAGTAATCCTTCCTCTATCAATGCAGGTTGCAACCTTCTCTGAAACTTAATCTTAGAGAATTGCCTAGAACACTGCAAAGCCAAGTGACTTGCACAGGTCACACAGCCAATCAATCAACCATCAAGCATTTATTAAGCACATACTATATGCTGGGCACTATGCTAAGTACTGGGGATACAAAGAAAAAGGAAAAAATATTTCCTGACTTTAAGGAATTTATATTGTAATGGGGGAGACTACGTGTAGAAATTACTGCATGTCAGATAAAGGACTTAAACCCTGGTCTTCATATCTTCAACAGTGGCTCTTTATCTACTACACCACGCTACTTCTCTGAGACGAGAAGCTAAACAACTCTATTCAGTATCTATATTTATGCTCTATATTACTATGTAAGTTATATTTTGTGATTCCTCTGAGTAAATTCTGGGTAGGGGCATAATTAGGATAAGAAAGATAATGATCTTTTTAGGATAGCACCAAAATTGAATTCAGCCTATGTGAGTTCAGAGAACATGGTACTGGGGCAGCTAGGTGGCGCAGTGGATAAAGCTCTGGCCTTGAAGTCAGGAGGACCTGAGTTCAAATGTGGCCTCAGACCAAGCGCTTGACACTTAACTAGCTGTGTGACCCTGGGCAAGTCACTTAACCCCGATTGCCTCACCAAAAAATCAAAGAGAACGTGGTACTGGCCAGGGGTTATTTTCTGAAATTGTTATGTATTTATATGTTGTTTCCCCCAGTGGAATGTATGTTCTTTGTGAACAGGATGTTCCAGCACTTTGTATCCCTAGCACTGACCCAGTGCCTGGCATAAAGTTAGCAGAGTAAGTACTTGATCAATGCTTGCTGAATTGAATTGAATGAGGGACGATGTTTAAGTACCTAAAAGGGTGACCAGGAATGCAGCAGTTTCCTGGAGCCAGGTTTCTATAAAGGGGAGGGAAATTTCTGCTCTTTGCTGGGCACTGTACTAAGCATCTTAAAAACATCTTTTTTGGGGGCAGCTAGATGGCGCAGTAGATAGAGCACTGGCCTTGGAGTCAGGAGGACCTGAGTTCAAATGTGGCCTCAGACACTTTACACTTAACTAGCTGTGTGACTCTGGGCAAGTCAGTTGACTCCAATAGACACACACACACACACACACACACGCACACAACTTCTTTAATCCTCACAACTACCCTGGAAAGTAGATGCTGTTATTATCCATATTTCATAGTTGAGGAAGCAGACAAAGAAAGGTGAAGTGACTGATACTAGTACACAAGTAGTATGTATCTGAGGCAAAATTTGAACTCAGGTCTTCCTGACTCCCAGGCTGAGCATTCTATCCACTCCACTACCTAGATGCCTCGATGAGTGAAAACAAAATGAAATTGTAAGAGGAAGAGGTCTAATTAGAAGAGAAGTTTATTGACAACAGAGATCCCAGAGGGCTTAACAAAGGACAAAGACAAAGTAATAAAGGAATTCAGGGGAGATTTGGCTGAGGTAGATGGGGACAAAGGAGTGAGAAATGGAAAAATGCAAGCGTACAGAGAGAAGTTTAATAGCCAGTAGATTGTCACACCCTTTCTAGTAAGCAATGGCACAGGCTTGAATAGTGCTTTGATTTTTCCCACCTTGAAAGTAGATAAGCTAGGTCCCAGTGGCCATAGGGGGAAAGTTTTGGTGACTGATAAAATACGAAGACAGAATTTGAACCCAGGTCCTAATGATTCCAAAAACAATACTCTATCCACTACTACATCATGCTGCTTGTCAGGAGAGAGAGGGAAAACTTTATAGGCATAAAGAACAGTGGGAGGAAAAAGTCATGAAAGTACAAGGAATATTCAAGAGACAGAATAGTTGCCCCATTTGGTTGAGAGTAGAATGCATAGAGGGGAGGAATATGAGGTAAATCCTGCAAAGTAGAGAGATGGGGTAGATTGTAGAGGATCTTGAATGCCAGTAAAGGAGTTTGGATTTTACTTAGTAGGTAATAGGGAGCCACTGAAGATTTTTGAACAAGGGAGTGACATGACTAGCATTATGAATAAAGATGAAGAATTTGCAATCTAGATTCCCAGGAAAGCAAAATCACAATCTCCATAAGAGATTACATTCCCAATCTCCCTGGAGTGGATCTTTCCTGGACTCCAGGGTAGGACATGATCCTAGCAAAGAACCTGGATTCAAGTGAGCCCACTTACCCTCTGGGTCTGTTCAGTGAAAAGTCTGGTTTTGTTCTGTTTTGTTTTGTTTTGTTTTGTTGTTGTTGTTGTTGTTGTTGTTGTTGTTGTTGTTGTTCAGGAAGTTCCCCTGCCACTTGTTTCCTCTTCTCCTTTCAGGAATGCCAATGTCCTCTAGGTCACTCTGGTTTATACTGGTGCCTGTCCTGGTATTAGTGCCTTCAGCTGGGATATTGTTTTATCTACAACACAAGAAAAAAAAAGGTATGGGGTTCTGGGGAGATAGGAAGAAACGTATTCTCTTCTTCCTTAGTTTAGATTTTGGTTTCCTTGAGCACAAAGAGGCCCCTCAGGCCCTGGGGAATCATGCCGTCCCACATTCCCTTTCCTTTCCATGGGCTTTCTAATAAGAGCATCTTATGTTCATCTCATTTTGCATTATCACATACATTAACACTGAGCTGGAAAGCATTTACTAATGTCATGGGGAAAACCTACAGCTCCCAACACAATTTAAGGTAAAAGTCAGGAAGAAACTTCATTGCTATTACAAGTCATGTTAGGGAAAAATGAGTTGACTGACATTTCCACTAGCAGCCAAGTGGGTTCTCTTTACAAACAATTTCCAACTAAGCTGTAGAATAAATTTAAGTGAAAAAACTTACGTGAGATAGCAACTTGTTACTTAGTACAAGGTAACTGTTTCATGCAAGGAGAGAGATAGAGAGATGCAACTGAGATATGGGTTTGCAACATCTAGCAACATTCTTATCTCTTTGAGGACACTGGAAATGATAAGATATTATCAAAGTGTTAGCTCACTGGTTTGGATTTAGGCAGCCAGTATGCTCATATTAGTATTATATCCTTATAATGCCAGCCTTTAACTTCAATTATTTAAATGTTGGTGGAAAGAGAGTGGGGTCCTCTCTGGGTGTTGTGTTGTTGTTATTCAGTCACGTCTGACTCTTTGTAACCCCATTTGGGGTTTTCTTGGCAAAGATACTGGAATTGTTTGCCATTTTCTTCTCTAGCTCATTTTATAGATGAGAAAATTGGGGCAAACAGGGTTAAATGACTTTTCCAGAGTTTCACAGCTAGCAAATGTCTGAGGCTGGATTTGAACTCAGGAAGATAAGTCTTCCTGATTCCAAGTCTAGTGCTCTATCTACTGTGCTACCTAGCTGCCCACAGGCTTTTTGCTAAAAGCTGGGGATACAAATAAGAAAAAAAAAGTCAGTCCCTGCCCATAAGGAGCTTATAATCTAATGGAGAAAGACAATATGTGAAAGGAAGCTGAAAAGGAGAGAGGCTGCTTTGGGGTAAAGGATTGGGGTAAAGTAACACAATGCCGTGCATGATGATATTCATGGAGTTAAGGCCAAGCAGAGCAGGTGATGGGAAATGGAGTTAGCTGGAAAATTCTGAGCCCTTTCTAAAAAGGGAAGCTTTGGAAATCATTTATTGCTCTATACCTCCCAGCCCTCCAATCTCCAAGGGGAGAGGCAACTGAGGGTCTTCACAGAACAGAAGTTTGGATTCAGTCAAAAGAGCCACACTTGAGGACCTAGAGGGCCCCAGGTGGCCTCAAGGCCTCAGGTTCTCCACACCTGGGTTAGAGCATAGGGCCTGGAGTCAAGAAAGTCTGAGTTCAAATCCAGCCTCAGATGCTTACTAGCTGTATGATCCTGGGCAAGTCACTTAACCTCTTTGCCTCAGTTTTCTCATCTATAAAATGGAGAAATAATAGCACTTACGTCTCAGGGTTGTTGTGAGGATTGAATGAGATAATAATAATGAGATAATAATTGTAAAGCATTCAGCACAGTGCCTGGAACATAGTAAGTGCTATATTAATGTTTTTATTATTATCCAACCTTGTGACCCAAAATTGTATTACAAAAGAAAAGGTCTTCCCTGACTAGTGCTACAAGTTTGCAAGAACTGTGGCCAAACTTCTGGGGAGAAAAATAGAACTTCTTGAAAGATTCTTACCAATTTCTATGCCAAGAATTCAAATACAAATGTTTACAGTTTTCCTAATTGACTCAAATCCATTCTGTGTTTAATGTTTGTGTTTAGTCTGGTATTGGCAGTGGGACTGAAGGTTTTTGAGAGAAATGAGTCAAATTATGAAGGAGAAAGAGGATGGGGGCAAAAATAAGCCTTATCTGTTATCAGGTAGATAAATGACCCATGCCCCCCAAAAATATTGAACCTAGTCCTTTATGTTAGAGGTCAGACCCTGATACCTATGAGGCCAGATTTGCTTCCCTGTGTTAAGACCTCTAACCTCAGATTTCTTCTACATGAAATAAGGATAATAATGCTAGTACAACCTGACTAATAGGGATGTGGTAAGGAAATTTTCGCTAAATCTTAAAGTATTGCAAAAATATAAGTTATTTTGATTATTAAGATGTCACTATTATATGTGATAGATCCTATAGCACTACCAACTCTAATCAAAATGAACTCTAAAAATATCCCATATGACCTTCCCTAAGAAAAAAGAGGACAGGTAGGTGGCACAGTAGATAAAGCACTAGCCCTGAAGTTAGGAAGACCCAAGTTTAAATGTGGCCTCAGATACGTGCTAGTTGTGTGGCCCTGGGAAAGTCACTTAACGCTGTTTGCCTCACTTTTCTCATCTGTAAAATGAGCTGGAGAAGGAAATGGTCAGTATCTTTGCCAAGAAAACCCCAAATGGGTTAAGGAGAGTTGGACATGAGCAATCAAAAACACAACAACAAGAAAAAAGATTCACAAAGGTCAATGTAGTATAGCATACTGTAGTGGAAAGATTTCTGGACTTCAAGTTAAGAATCATGGGTTTGAATTTCAACTCAGGTATTTAATAACTGACCATAGGCAAGTTACTTTACTTCTCTAGGCCTCAATTTTCTCATTTCTAAAATGTGGACATTAATATGCTGCCTAACTCACAAGATACTAGTAATAAAGTGCTTTCTAAGTATTATTTTAATTAATAAGTGTTATTAATTTGACCACTGGGGGTACTTTTGTTGGCTAAGTGTCTGACTTTACTGGTGATAAAAGTCGGAAAATGATGGTCCCACAATCACCACAATGATTCTGTGCTTCTCTTAAAACAAGAGGTCACTCTGGGGTATACATTAAGATCTCTTTAGCTTGGGGCAACTAGGTGGCACAGTAGATAGAGCACCAGCCCTGAATTCAGGAGGATCTGAGTTCAAATCTGGCCTCAGACCAAACACTTGTGTGACCCTGGGCAAGTCACGTAACTCCAATTCCCCCCAAAAAATAAATAAATAAGATCTCTATAGCTCCCAGGACTCTCTATCCCCTAGCTTCATTTCTTTTGTGAGGGTCAAGGGTCCCTCTGTTAGTGTAGGGTTGTGGGAAATGGCTTAATCCAATTAGACTCGCTGTTCAATATCTCTCTACTCACTAGGAAACTCAACCCTCTTCCTTGGAGAAATCATCTTCCTTTACTGGGTATCCATTCCCTCCCCTGTAAAAAGTGAGGGGACATGGGACTATCTCTAAGGTTCCTACCAAGCTCTAACATGCTATGAATCTGTGAATCTGGTATATTGCAGATGCTGATTCACCGTCCACTTCCAAGGTCATGGCCCTAAAAGACCTCCCACTTTCAGAAAACCAACTCTATGATGAAATCAGCATGCCCAAGGTAAGCTTAGTTTGATCTCTCTCTGTTGGGGACCAGGATGAGGAAGATGTGAGCTGGAGGGTTTGACCATGTAGTGGTACTTTTATATGGTAAAAAAAAAAAATCTTGCCCTTCCCCTGCTCCAATCCTTGCTCCTACACTGAGGCAATGCATTGGGTAGAACTGAGCCTTGATCTGAGGTCTGGAGGGTCTTCTTGATGAAAGTGAGGCCTGGGAAGGGCCAAGGAAAGAGATAAGGGGAAAGTATGGGCTGATATTCCTGGCTAGTCTGAGGACTAGGACTCATGATAATCTTTTTTTTTTTTTTGGTGAGGCAATTGGAGATAAATGACTTGCCCAGGGTCACACAGCTAGTGTCATCATAATAATCTTTTATAGGCAATTGTCTCCAATCCTCCAAAAGAAGAAGAAGCCCTGAATACTATTTATTACACAGTACAGAAGCCCCAAAAGGTAACTATCTTTCCAGTTTGATTTCAACTGGCATTTCTTGCCTCCTCTCAAGTTGACCCAGAGGGTTCTAAGGTCCTTCTGTCTGTGGTCTTCCATCAAACAAGAGGAATGTAGCTGGTTCCACCTGGGTCTTCTCTCAGTGCATCCACAGGGGCAACTCCAGTTTAGTCCCCATAGGCCAGATCTTGAATGTAACTGTGACTTCTCCTCTGCTCTAAAAGCTGCTTCAGTAACCCTGACGAGAAACCCTGTAGACACAAACAACCCCACAAACACATACCCACCCCCAGCCAGCTACACATCCATACCTGAGATTCTGTTCCCTACTATCACATGGGGTGAAATCTTATGTCACTTCCCTATTCAATAAACTCCAGTGGCTCAATATAAAATCCTCTGGCTTTTAAACACCTTCGTAAGTTGGCCCTTTCCTACCTTTCTGGTCTTAAATCTTAGTTTCCACCATTGTGCTCTACAATCCAGTGACACTGACCTCCCTCACACAACACTCCATTTCCTGAATTCATGCATTCTCACAGGCTATCCTCTATGTGTGGAATGTGCTCCCATCTCATCTCTATCTCCTGGCTTCGCAGGCTTCCTTCAAGTCTCTGCTAAAACTCCTCTTCTACAAATAATCTTTCCCATTCCTCCTTAATACTAGTCCCTTCCCTCAGAAATCACTTCCAGCTTATCTTGTCCATATCTTGTTTGTACATAGTCATTTGCAATTGTCCTTCTTCACATTAGATTGTGAGCTCCTTGAGAACAGGGATTTGTTTTGGCCTTTTTTAAAATGCCTAGCATTTAGGCACACAGTTATCAATTATGCTTATAGTTTGTTACCCACTAAATGATGAGTATGAACGTGTTGCTGCTACTACTGATCACTTGAAAGTTTCCCAGTGGGACCACACTTGAAATTTATAAGAGGAGGACAAAGAGAATCCCCTCCCCCCCCCCACTGTGTCAAGATAGTGGCAATAGGAGAGAGCAGGAATGAAGGAATCTTGAACCTGACACTTCATCTCAGGTGCAAGATCACCTACAACACCCCACCTTATTTCTTTATTTTTCTTTTTTTTGGGGGGGTTGGCAATGGGGTTAAGTGACTTGCCTAGGATCACACAACTAATAAGTGTCAAGTGTCTGAGGTCAGATTTGAACTCAGGTCCTCCTGACTCCAGGGCCATGCTCTATCCACTGCGCCACCTAGCTGCCCCCTACCTTATTTCTCCTGTTGTGTTTTAAGGGTTAATCCCTACAAGTCCTTTTAGTGGCCTTGAGTAACCAAGAAATCATATGGGATCCAGAAGGGGGACTTCACAAATCCTTATTATCTTAGGATTTGCAAATCCTAAGGATGGGTGATATTAGGTCCCCTTTTTGGAGGGAGAAAAGCCCTAAGGCTAAAACTGATACCTAGCCAGCTCTGGCCTGCTTTCTATGATTTTGCAGTTTCCTGACTCCAGCATAATATTAACACACCTTTTGTCCTCTCCTCTTGTACAGATTAAAAATTCTTGTTCATCTGCTACCAAACTTCTTGGGACCTCTACCAATGATTCTGTGATCTAAATGACAGCGAAGTTTATCCTCTTCCCAGGAAAGGACATTTGATGGCAGGAAGACTTCAGCCTGTTAAAAGAAATATGGGTTCAGGCCTCATCCTGGTCAATGAGGCAAACTCAGGAAAAGAAAGGAGAAAGTATTTTATTAGCACACCAAGGCAGCAAGCAGTTAGAATGCAGCCAGACCCATTACAAACTGAGCCAGTTTTTATAGACTGGAGTAAACAACTTCCACATAAGAACAAAAGTATGCTGATTGGTGGTGCAACACCAAACTGGACTTATATCATTCCTCTATCTTTAACTGCATCATCTTAATCTGGACTGCCTGTAATACAAGGTAGGCCTTGGGAATAGTGCCTTACACTGGGGGAAACACTGTAAACATAAGCAACATATAATCCCCATGACAAAACACCTGAGAGGGTCCACAAACAGATATTCCAGCCATGAGAGATCAGGAAGCCAAGAAGTTAACCATTGCCATGGGGGACCAGCATTCTTTCTCATCCTCCTAGAACTCATTTTTGTATTGAGACCAGATGGACATGAATGTTATCAGAATTATCAGCAACCTGTATGCAGCTCTCCTGACCTATGAGGACACATCGCCCTCCCCACTTTGCCAGGAGGTAATCCAGAGGAGTCTGTTCTGTAAGACCACATCTCCAAGGGTATAGATCTCTGCACTAGGTTCGTCCACAGCATCTATGGATTCATTAACACAAATCTGTAAAAATTCATTCATTCTGTTGAAGAGTGCTAAACTGTGTCTGACCCTATACATGGGCAATACGGTGGAAAAGGCACCCACTAGAGTGATTCTCCCACTAGAGGAGAAAATGTGGCAGAAACTTGGATAGCTGCATGTTTGTTCTGCAAGTAGGTGCTAAGAGGCAGGGTAGATGCTTGAAAACCAAGAAGATCTCTTTCCATCCCTCGCTGTCTCTGCCAATTTTGGGGAAGCTAATAATAAGTTGTGTTGTGACACAAGAAATGAAGTCCTTGTGGGGCTCTCCTAAAAAATCTCCTTGTGTGTGCCTGGCCTCCTAACTTAAGACTTTCTCAGAAGATCATTCTATTCCCAAATAATCACATTCTGTTTCAGGGATAGGTATAATTACATCTTATTTGGGATCCCATTTTTTGCCCTTGTGTCTCATTTTGCTCATAGCACAGTATCAATGGCCTAATAACATAGCCCAAGCTCAAGGGAGGCCAGAATTGGGAAAGGTTAGCGATCTTATTCCAACTAAAGGTAAATGAGTGAGAGAAATAATTTTTCCAGTCTATAACAATACAATTTAACATTTTGTTTAAGTTTTCCTTAATGATTGCAAAAGAATAGTCATGCAAGTCCTGGACATCTGAACCCATGCCTACCAAGGGTATCCCTTTCCCCAAGGCCAAAGGGGCATGTGCATGTATCCAGCAGTTGATCCAGCTAAAGGCATGGAGGGCATTTTGGATCAGACACACATAAGTGTTGGGTCTCCTGTTCCATCCCCAAGGGCACAAAGCAAGGCATAAAGTGAAGAAGACAAATACATGGTAGATTGCAGATGAAATATTAGGTCCTAATTATCAGAGTCAAACAGATGACCAAGGACCATTGATTGCTGTTGGGGTTTCTTCCCAGTTTACCTGGGTCCAGTGGCTGATCAGAGTTTGCTGCTTCTGTTAAGCTGGGGTCAATCACAGCAGGCTTCACATGGGAGTGATGTATCCAGGCTATCCGCTTGGCACCCTTGATGGCAGTATGTCTGGTCAGCAGGATCTGGAAAGGCCCATTCCAAGAGGGCTGGAGACTAGATGTCTTCCTGAAGTTGTGGGTCCACACTTAGCCTCCTCACTCAAATGAATACATCTCCTTTTCCAAAGGTAGAATTTGTGTCAAGGCTGCCTCCTTCCAGACCTGTGAAAGAGAACTGGACAGAGATCATATACCTTATCAGGCTTTCATCCCCTGTGGCCAGACTCAGGCTCTGAGGGTCCAACCTCCAAGTAGCAGTAGGTGATCTACTGAACAGAATTTCAAAAGGTGACAATCCACAATCCTGCCTACTGGAACAACACAAGGGGAAGCACCTGAGGACATTTTAACTGTGTTTTCTGGCATAATTTTCCAAAAAGCGTCCATTTAACCACTCAACTCTCCCTGATGATTGTGTGAGTGATAAGGGGTACACAGGTTCCCAAAACACTTGGAGAGTTGCTTAGTTATTTCTGCAGAAAAGTGTGGCCCCTGATTGGAGTCAATAGTACATGGCAGGCCAGATTATTATTATATTATTATGTCCTTGATCAGACACCTTGCCAATGTGTTTGCTGCAGCATGTTGTCACTGGAAAGGCCTCTACTCAATGGCTCGATTGTTCTCTGCATACCAACACGTAACTGTAACCCATAGACTTTGGCAATTCAATAAAGTCAGTCTGCAGGTGTTCAAATGGTAGAGTCACCCACTTTCTCCCCCTTTTGACACAGTTTTCTTCCTCTAGGAGTTGAATAGTTGACAAGAAAGGCAGCTAGAGACCACACGATGGACCTCTGCATATACACCAGGGGCAAACCATGATCAGCAAATTTGTGTAAAAGGGCCTCAGTTCCTGTATGTCCCAGGACATGGAGTTGCAGACACAGGAGGCACACTAATCATTTAGGTGCAATGGGGCCCCAATCTGGCATGACCCACATTCTGTCTTGTAGAATGGTTTTCTGTCTGGTCACCAAGATGTCAATGTCAGCTTCCGTGACTAAGGAAGAATAGCAATTTGTTGTGCTAGCAGATAGCATAAGCAGTGTTTTGGGCAGCTCTTGAGGACCCTAGACCATTTGGACATCTCATCTGCAAACCAGTTGCCACCTTGTAAAAATGAACGTCCTCTGGTATGGGCCAGGAAATGCATCACAGAGATGGCCTCTGGGAGCAAGATGGCTTAAATGAGTTGGTCAATTAGAGAGGCATGCACTATTGGTTTATTATTTGCAGTGATGAATCCATGCTGCTTCCACAAGGCACCAGTGGTGTTACAGTCCCCAAAGGTGTATTTGGAATCAGTGTAAATGTTCACTCAGAGTCCCAGGGTCAGCTGGCATGCCCTACTCAACACCATCAACTCAACTCCCTGTGCCTCAAGTACATTATATAATGTAGCTTCCTACCAACAACTAGGGGGACACAATCACTTCCTGAGTCACTCATACACCATTTTCATAAAAGGAGGAGCCCTCTGTGAACAATGTGAGATCAAGTTCCTCCAAGGGGCCATCTGAGGGGTCAGGCCATGGTCTCCCTATGGCTTCAGTCACCTCAAGATAATCATGTAGCACTTCATGGTCTTTCAGGGGTTCAGGAAAAAGAGTAACTGGCTTGAAGACATTATAGTGCTGCAGGGAAAGGTGGGGATAAGACAGAAGGCTTACCTCATATGCAACCACTAGCCGGTGGGGAGAAGCTTAAGTCTTGGATTGGAATAAAATGGCAACAACACTATGAGGCATATAGACAGTCAAAGACTGGCTGAAACAAGAAGTTGGGTCCTTTCTGCAAGTTCAACAGTGGTCATGAGAGCCCACAGCACCCTGCAGCATCTTGCACCATTGGATCAAGTTAGCAAGAGTAATCACTAAGGGGACTATGATGGAGCTCCAACCTCTAGGTGAGGACTTCCTGTGCAACATCTCTCTGTTCATGTACAAAAAAGAAAAAAAGGTTTATCATAAGCAGGGAGTTTCAGAGATGGTGGGGAGGCCATCACCCACTTCACTTGCTTAACCATTTCCTTCAAGGCATCTGAGGATGTGAGGGACTCAGGGTCTCTTTAGCCACATAAGCAACTAGTTCCTTAGAGAGTTTCCTCAGTGCTAGAATCTAATGGTGGCAGTATCCCACAGTCTCCAACAGGACATGTACCTGGTGTTTTGTTTTTGGTATTAGCATTTGAAGGATACCCTATGTGACATATAAAAAGTTCAAGAGACATAATTTCTGGGTAATTATTTTATTGATTATGTTAGCAGACAATTAATAAAAGAGGTCCGTGGCACTCTCAAATGCCAAAGATCTCTGTTGGAATCCACTTAACACTTATATGACCTTGGAAGAGTGGGTATTCCTGAGGGTGGCAATCAACTCTGATTGGTTAACAATGAGAAGAATGATTATTCTAATGAGGGGTGGGCTTATTCTAATGAGAGGCAGGCTGATTCTATTGAGGGGCTGGGAGAGGTAATTGGACAAAGAGATTTATCTCTAATCCAAACTAACCCCACCTAGGACAATCTAAAAGGGGGTCCACCTCTACTCAGACCTAACTGACTAAAATACACTATGCAGGATTTCACAGTGCTAGAATCTCTTTGCAAGGTTTTCTAGTGACAATTCCACCTAGATAAGATGGTCTAGGTGGGGTAAATTTTTGGAAAAGGTCAGAGATCTCCCCAATAATTTGTTATTTAATTATCCTTTCTCTCACCTGTATCCTAACATTTGTCAAAGACTTAGTGCCTGGTTCTGGTTCATACCCCAAGTACTAAACTATGAGAAGGGCAAACTGTAACTTTAAGGGGAGATTCAGTTGCCCTTTCCATAAAGACAGCATAGGAAGAAAATGTTGTCTTCCTCACTGGCTCCTTGTGAGAAGGAGGCAAGCAATAAGCATCAACATATTGAATTAGGGCAGGCTCCTGGGTGGATGTACATCTTATAGGTCCTTGACAAGAGCTTGTGTGAATAGAGTGGGAGATTCACCATGACCCTGAGGCAGCCTAGTCCACGTGTATTGCCAATCCAATCCTTCCAACTAAAGACAGTAAAAGTTCTGTGAATCTGGGTCTATCTACAGTTCACCACTGGAAAAAAAAAGCAGCACACAAGACAATAACAGAATTTGCTTTCATATTGTGTGGAATGTTGGTGACAATAGAAACAAGATTCAGAACCACAGGGACTCTTAGCATGACAAAATTGTTGATAGCCCTTAGATCCTGGACAAAATGGTATACAGGTAGGCCTTCGTCATCCACCTTTTCTTTCCTTCATTGGAAGTACAGGGGTAGTGCAAGGTGACTGTCATAGAACTATCACTCCCAGATAAACATAAGCATTGATAAGTTTTTTAATAGGTTTAACTGCCTTTAAATTGATGTTATATTGATGAGGTTTATGGTTGCTGGGAACCCCAAAATGTCAGGGTACAAGGAGGAGTTGACTAGAACAAATTCACACATTCAAACCATCTTCCAGTCAAGTGGCAAAGTTTATTGTAATGCCAATTGAAGCATGAAGTTCCTAATGAGGATGAAGTTGATGCTTATATACAAAAGGGACTGTGAAAGGATCTGGGTGGGATTAAGGAGTGGTATGTCATTTGGGATGGACCAGTGCAAAAGTGAAAGGAATATCAGGTAGGCTAATTAGGTGAACTGGGTTGCTTCCAGAAATGTGCTTTTTTTTCCTTTAGGGGTCCAGGTCCCAGCACCCCATCATTCACCCCTCAGACAAATGGGACCCAAAATCTTTTGGGGTAAGGGGCAAAGGTATTGGTTTCTGAAACGGCTTCCTGCTGGCAAGGGGCATAGAGCTGTCCCTGCCTTACTGGGTCCCATTTAACAGGTCAGACTTCAGAACCTGGCCAATGTCAGGTCTATTTTGTTGCAGTGGGTTAGGGACCACTGACTCAGACAAAATTGGTATACAGCCAGAGCAATCATCTAGAAGTTGACAATCTGGAGCCTAGAGGAGACAAATTTGACAATGAGGTTAAACAAACAAGGGCCAAATAGGAATAAGAAGAGTATGATCAGGAGTGCAATAAGTATGAGTACTAGTAGAGAAAGGAGCCAGGATCCCCATGAAGAAAATGGTTTTGGGGCACTGAAGTTGTCATTAATTTCTTCTATCCAACTAGCCTCTTCTAAAATAACATTCAGCGTGGATCTCTATTTTTCCAGAGGATTGAGGATGCCAGGCAGAGTGAAGGTGATAAGTGGTTTTAAGTGCTTCTGCCATAACCTGAGTTATCTGTGAAATAAAAGCCAGGTCATTGTCCCTCTGTAAGGAACTAGGCAAGCCAAAGTGAGGTATAATTTCCTTTAACAGGAACTTTGATATCTCCTGAACCTTTTCAGTTCTGCAAGGAAAGGCTTCTACCCAATTAGTAAAGGTGTCAATAAAAACCAAAAGCAAGTTGAAACTCCTGCATGGGGGCATATATGTGAAGTCTATCTGCCAGTCTTCACCTGGGTAGGTACCCCTCCTCTGAACAGGTTTTAAAAGAGGGGGAGTTCTGACTGTCCTTTCAGAATTTACCTGGGCACATGTTGGGCAAGCCCGACAGACTTGCCAGATGGTTTCTCCTGGCTTATTGCCAGTAAAAATAGGCTTTATCCTCACAATATGAAAGCAAATTCTGGAGGGCATTCTTCCCTAGGTGTATGGCCTGGTGTAAGCCAAAAGGAAACTTCCACTGGCTTTCTTCTGGGATAAGAAGTTGACCTGAAAGTGTCTGAAACCATCCAGAGGGGAAAGAGAGTACCCCTTTTCTTTAGCAAGGGCCTGTTCTTAGGGGCTGCAGGAAGGCATGAAGGAGTCAGGGAGTCATGGGAGTAAAGGAACCAGTACAGTTAGCTGTCAAGAAGCAATATCTCCCAGGCTATTTCCCACGGCCTAGTTCATTTCCCCTTTCTGGTGACCTTTGCAAAATATAACAGCTATCTCAAATGGTTTCTGAACAGCTTGGAGGAGATGTAAGATTTCCTATGCATGTTTGATAGAGGAATTCCTTGCTGTCAAATATTCCCTTTCTTTCCAAATTGCTCCATGGGCATGTAGAACACAGAAGGCATATTTTGAGCTAGTAAAAATATACACCCTTTTATTTTTCCCTAGTTCTAGGGTTCTTGTGAGTGCTATTAACTCTGCTTTCTGGGCAGAGGTCCCAGGAGGCAAGGGTTTGGCCTCTATGGTGCAGTGGAGGCTGACTACTGCATACCCAGCTCTCCTCATCTCTTGTTCAACAAAGCTGGACCCATCCGTATACCACTCTGCCTCCAGGTTAGAGAGAGAGATCTTTAAGATCAGGTCTACTGAAATAGACCAAGTCCAAAGCCTCCTCGAAATCATGAACCAGAGCATCTGAGTGTGGCTGTCTGGGAGAAGAATTGACAGGTTGAGAGTGTGGCATACCCGGAGAGTTAGATCAGGGGTATCTAAGAGCAAGGCCTGATATTTAGTGAGCCTGCTGCTAGCCAGCCACTGATGACCTTTTGCTTCCAGGATGAGCTCAACTTGGTGGAAAGTCAAAACTTCCAGGATTGGCCAAGTTTAAGTTTAGAGGTTTCCTTAATTAAACGGCCATTGCAGCCATAGCCTAGAGACGTGAAAGCCATCTGACAGTCACAGAGTCTAATTGTTTAGAGAACTAGGCAATAGGCCTGGGTCAGGTAG